GTTACTACTGCACTTAGTGCCCATCACAGAACGTCAAGGAATTCCGCACCGGAGTACAAATGCAGACGTAAAATTTTCACCAAAGAAAAGCAAAGGGCACGTTTTTTTAGAAAGGTGGTTCGGTTTCATTGTTTAGTTCGGGTTTCAACTACTGAAATAGGATCAAATGGCAACACAATTTATCTCGAGAGATTCAGACATGGCCCAGAACAAACTGCGGTTCTGAAATGTGACTGGCACTTTCAGGACAACCTGATGTAATGTCATTAACATGCAGACAGCACGGGTGTCGCCCTGGCTGCCTTCGCAGGGAGAGCTATGGGGCCTCAGTCTCCCGCCTTGACCCCCCCCGTACCTTGTGGAATCGCCGTGGGCTGGTACGAGGTCTCCGACAGCTGGTATGTTGGCAGGGTGGGCATGGCGGTGGGGGGGAAGCCCCCCGGAATGAGATGGTTGAAAGCCATCAGTTGATTGGCCCCAGCTTGCTTCCTCCATCTTGCACGGCGGTTGCTAAACCAGACCTATGGATTTAATTTAAAATTTGAGGGCTTCGCGGATGAAATAATAGTACATTCTTAATGAATTTTTCATGCTAAAACAGACTCAAGGCCCCTTACTGACAGGGCAAGGAGAAGTAAGAGCCCTCCGCCCTCTGTGTTGTACTGTCGGGGGAGACAGGGGAGTTAAGTGTCAGGGTCACAGCGGGGCTGCGAGGGCCTTCCCTGGTCTTGCAGGGCCCCCACGAGTCCAGTCAGGACACGGGAGGAATGGCTGAGCAGGAATGGGACCAGCAGGAACCCCTCTGTCACCACCAACACCCCCCCACCTTCATGGATTCCAGGGAGGATCCAAGAGCCTCCAAGCCCCACACAGTGTGTGTCCTAATTCGGACTCGCCTGTTCCACTAGCCCTTCTATCCTACATTCTTATAGTCTGTCTTTGTATTTCTATGGCCATTATGGGCACAGCTCCTGGACAGTCATATAAACTGACCAACAGGAGCCATTTTACCACCTATTTCAAAGTGTGAGACATTGTATTGATCATAGAGGGAATGAATGCCAAAGAGGTAAGTGTTTCAAGAAATGAGAGAATGTTATCTAAGAAGACCCCATAAATAATTAGTTTATTATTTCTTTCAACAACAGTTTTAAGCACCTATAACACTCTGTGCCAGGCACTATGCTAACCAGGTAAACTCAGAAAAACTTGATGTAATAAAATAAAATGCCTTCAAGGAGTTTAAGACCCAAGTACTTTGAGCAGCTAGAGAGAAATGGCAATAACAGAAGCAAGAAATGTAACTGAGTATCTAAAATATTGAGAAATTATAATATAAGGCGATTAATGGGCCCTATGATCTTGCCTGACTCTTACACCTGCAGAGCTCAAATGTAGAACTTTGATTTTTCCTGTGTACATGTGATGTTGCCGCCAAAATGAGAAAGGATTTCTACCAATTAAAGATTTGATAATTCCTATATCAAAAGTTCATAGAAAACTTAATAAGGAGAAAGCATTGTGCCTGAGGTCAGAGAGATAAAGGGGTGAAAGAGATGATAGGAAGAGATAGGATCCCTGCACTCTAGCAGCTTATAGTCTNTAAAGGGGTGAAAGAGATGATAGGAAGAGATAGGATCCCTGCACTCTAGCAGCTTATAGTCTTGTCCTCAAGGAATTCGGAGTCATCAAGGAAACCAAAATAATTGCTCATTAGAGTTAGAAGCTCCATGTTTGGAAATGCAGAGAATCAGGAAAAGTTTTGAGTAGACACAGAACTTTAACTCATTTTGAAGCTTGGGTATGATTTCAACAGGAAGTGACTCCAAATGGACATGATAATACAGGAGACAGCATGTCTAAGAAAAGATAAGACCTGATTTCCTTATGAACAAAGTTAACAATTATACGACTTATTTGTAATTTTTTAAGTTGTAAAATTTTTTAGACTTAAGGGTCAATTTCTCCTTTCTGGAGCAAGAAAGCCCAATTTAACAAATATTTTGCCAAGTCATCTGCTTAAACTTTTGCTTACCACCCAAGCTCTGAAAAAGAGTTTGGTCTTCTCCGGGCATGATGCAAGATACCGTTAAGGAGAGCTGTCTGAACATCTTCAAAATACTAACTCTTAATACTCCTTGAGTTTCCAACCAAAAAAGAAGCTAAGTCAATATTTTCCCATGTTGATACAAAATTGAATTAGACCTGGGGTAAAAGAACCATGAGCAGCACTCAATTTGAGATCTGTGTCGATTGTGTTTTCTCGCTGCCAGTCTGTTGCTGTGACTCCCAGAGGCACTGGGGTAAGAAAACTGTTTTCAGAGAAGGGTTTGGAACAAGCTGTGTTAGCCTGAGGAGGCTGGGGTAAGAAATGAGGGGCATATTCACGCCTGAGTGCGCTGTACTGTACCACACACCATGGTCTTATTTTGTATTGTAAAACTTTGAGATTAATAAGGCCACCTGGCTCAGGTGAAGAGGTCCCCCACACCTATCTAGACCAACCTAAATATGTTGGATCTCTAGCTTTATGTACTAGGCTGGGAAAAAGGTTGAATTTCCGAAAGTTCTGATGTGACTTCATTCATTCAGACATACTATTCTCAATTGGCCTGGTGAGATATTTTATGAAGAACTCAGAAGCCTGCACTTCCTTTGTTATCAGAGCCTGTTACCAATCTCTCTACGCCAGCTCCCTGCTGTAACCTCTGCATAAGTAAACCCAGTCTGATTTACCCAGTGGATGGTTATACCTGATCACTCTATCAATTTACCCTACTTTTAAAAGTTTATCCTAACTCCTCCATAACCCAATTTCTTAATCAAAAATGTCTCTCCTCAAATAATAAATTAGAAGAAACATCATGATTTTTAAAATACCTTCAAATACCTTCAAATGATTGAATCCAAAAGACTAGCGGTATAAGGTTTCTGGGAGTTTGTTTTCATTTTTCCAAAATGATACAAAAAATATCGAAGACATTGAGTAAACCCACCAGGAGCTGGATTTAAAAGTTCTTATATTTGCAGTACAATGAAAGATGAAGAGAAATCGTGGGGAAACAAATCTTTACTGAAAACGAACCTTCAACAGGAGGTTCAAGAATTTGATAAAGGGAAGAATTTAAATTTGGGCTAAATAAACCCAGAGGGCTGTTCCTGAGAGAAGTAGGGCTTACTGAGGGCTGGCCTGTCTATCTCTGGCCATTTAACCAAATGTGTCAGCATTTTGCCATTGCTAGCCTTCTGCCTCTCCTGGAACCAGCTGTCTGCCGAAAGCAGCATCAAAGGAAAAATAGACTGGAGCTGTGAATTGGGAGGTGCTTTTTGCCTTCTTTATACTTTGAAATTCATAAAAGACGTATCTTCTATTTTTAACAGAAAAAAAACAAAAACAAGTTGCCGTTGAAATAACCCTCATTTTAAATAGCCAAACCAGCCAAGCACAATTATCCTGGGGGACTGTTACCACCCATCTTTAACTGAAAGACATCTCCTTGAAGTTTTTACCTCGTTGGATACCCTGCAGCCTGGTTCATTTTCATCTGCCCCCTGGATCTCTCCCTACTTGTCTCTCTACTGAGCCCTTCCACAGAGCTATATTCATGCCATTTGGAAATCATCTTTATATCCATTTCTGAAGTAATACAAGGTCCAATGATTCTTTAAAGCAAAATTTTAAATTAACTGAAAGGTTCCCATAACATCATGGTACCTGCGGGGGGG